CAAACCACCTTTCAACCAGTGCATTCCTGCCACAGGAAAGCTGGTGTTGGGGTTGGGGTGAGGCAAAACTCTCTTTATGATCTGGTGTCATGGGAGGGATATACTACCAAGCTACCAGGGTCCAGACTCCTCCCCTTCCATCTGGCCCTGGATGATGCCTTTGGCCTCATATGATCAAATAATCCTTCCCCAGTGATCCACAGTGCAGCTCAGAGCACATTTTAGCCACCCTTTCATGGCACTTGGTGTGCAAGCAAGGATTTGCCACACCCAAATCTTTATACCAGCTTTCCCAGCACTGATTAGTTACAAACCATGTCAAGCATGGGTGGGGGAAACAATACTAGGATGGCTACCAGTAAGTTGTTTATGGGTCTGATGCTACTGTAGTGGGCACCAGTGCAGGCTCAAATTTCCCTGAGAGAACACATGATGAGGTTGGTGTCCTTGGTGGATAGAGACCTCATGATGGTTAGGGTGGGCATGTGAATTTGTTCAATCTCAGACATAATGTTGCTACATGTATGTTTGTTTGTATGGCAAACAACACTAATTATCCCTTCATTTGACTGAGATTCCACCTGCTGGGCTGAAAGTGAATAAACCGTTGCAATGGCATCTCTGCTCTAAAATGGACATATCTCCACACACACAATACTGAGATTTGCAGTCCATTGGGTGCTACATCATGGTTACTACAAAACAGCCAAACATTGCAACAGCTTCTGTAGCTTGTCAGACTACTGAGGTCTCTTATAGTTCTGCAACCAGAGCTAAGCAACTGGCCCAAAACATTGATGCCACTTTGTGCCATGAACCATCTGGCTTAAATCCAACTCTATACAGCTACCTTTGGGGATTATTAGTGTGTTCCACATTGAATAGAATGGATTCCAAAATGTTGGAGGTATCCAAAGCAACAACCTGCCCTTTGGACCTCTTATCCAGCCATCATTAAAAAACTTCACTGGCTGATATATCACATCCCCATCTTCCTCCAGAAGTCCATCAAGGAGTTGTTGAGTATCAAGTAATGCATGTGAAGAGACTGATGAAAAGCAGATTGGATAAGCTGTAATAAATTTAGGTTGGCTAGATAATTTGAGAATAGATAACAAGTGGTTATGACTCACAACTAATGATATGGGATGGAGTATTTACAGTTGGTGTGTTGTATCTTGGCTGGCTGGCTTCTTGACCACAACTATCCCACACCATGCTGTTCTCTGACCCCAAGATGACCCTCCCACTGTGTCCCAGCAGACATTGATTTATCTGGATAACTCTCTTGGCATCCCAGATCCTCACAGACTTGTCATGTGAGCCTGAGACCACCCACTTCCCATCAGAGGAGAATCCAACTGACTCAGACCCCACCAGTATGGCCCTCAAGAGGACCACCAATCTGGACACCTCTCTCAGCATCCCAGATCCTCACAGTCTTGTCCAAAGAGCCTGAAACAATCCTCTTGCCATCAGAGGAGAATCCAACTGACTTGACTGCACTAGGTATGCCCTTGAAGAGGGCCACCAATCTGGACACCTCTCTCAGCATCCCAGATCCTCACAGTCTTGTCCTGCTGAGCCTGAGGCAATCCTCTTTCCATCAGAGGAGAATCCAACTGAGTTGATGGAAAGAGTATGCCCTTGAAGAGGGCCACCAATCTGGACATGTCTCTCAGCATCCCATATCCTCACAGTCTTGTCATCTGAGCCTGACACAATCCTCTCACCATCAGAGGAGAATGCCAACTGACAAGACCCCATGAGTATGCCCCTGAAGAGGTTCACCCACCTGGACACCTCTCTCAGTATCCCAGATCCTCACAGTCTTGTCCTTTGAGCCTGAGACAACCCACTTCCCATCAGAGGAGAATGCAACTGATAAGACCACAACAGTATGCCCCTCAAGAGGACCACCAATCTGGACACCTCTCTCAGCATCCCAGATCCTCACAGTCTTGTCCAAAGAGCCTGAAACAATCCTCTTGCCATCAGAGGAGAATCCAACTGACTTGACTGCACTAGTATGCCCTTGAAGAGGGCCACCAATCTGGGCACCTCTCTCAGCATCCCAGATCCTCACAGTCTTGTCAACTGAGCCTGAGACAATCCTCTTTCCATTAGAGGATAATCCAACTGACAAGACCCCAAAAGAAAGCCCCTGATGAGGGCCACCAATCTGGACACTGCTCTCAGCATCCCAGATCCTCACAGTCTTGTCCTTTGAGCCTGAGACAATCCTTTTCCCATCAGAGGAGAATTGAACTGAGTTGACCCCATGGGTGTGCCCCTCAAGAGGACCACCAATCTGAACACCTCTCTCAGCATCCCAGATCCTCACAGTCTTGTCCTCTGAGCCTGAGACAACCCACTTCCCATCAGAGGAGAATCCAACTGACAGGACCCAATGAGTATGCCCCTCAAGAGGACCACCAATCTGGACACCTCTCTCAGCATCCCAGATCCTCACAGGCCTGTCAACTGAGCCTGAGACAATCCTCTTACCATCAGAGGAGAATCCAACTGACAAGATCCCAAAAGTAGGTGCCTGATGAGGGCCACCAATCTGGACACCTCTCTCAGCATCCCAGATCCTCATGGTCTCATTCTTTGAGCCTGAGACAATCCTCTTTCCATTAGAGGAGAATGCAACTGCCAAGACCCCACCAACATGCCCCCCAAGAGGACCACCAATCTGGACACCTCTCTCAGCATCCCAGATCCTCACAGTCTTGTCAGCAGAGCCTGAGACAATCCTCTTGCCATCAGAGGAGAATCCAACTGAGTTGACTGTACTAGCATGCCCCTCAAGAGGACTACCAATCTGGACACCTCTCTCAGCATCCCAAATCTGCACAGTCTTATCATAAGAGCCTGAGACAATCCTCTTTCCATCAGAAGAGAATCCAACTGACTCAACCCCACCAGTATGGCCCTCAAGAGGACCACCAATCTGGACACCTCTCTCAGCATCCCAGATTCTCAAAGTCTTGTCAGCAGAGCCTGACACAATCCTCTTCCCATCAGGGGAGAATCCAACTGACAGCACCCAACCACTATGACCTTCCATTACAACCTGAGCAGCTGACCATTCCTTAAGCCCTCCTGCAGAAACTCTAACCAGCCAAGAAAATTTTGCCACAAACATTCTGGCAAACACTGTGTTTGATGGTGTGAATGGTAATGCAGATATATAAAGATGTGGTGTGCTGTGGGAGATCACACCCCCAAAGTTCTGCACAAATGTAATCCCATCTCGTGCTGATGCCAATGTTTCCTCAAATCCATCTTGGCCCTTGAATATTATGTTAGAAGACATCAACTGCCACTCTGTTTCACCCACCTGTAGCCATGATATAGCAGAGGCCAGAGCACTTGTAGCCTGCCCAAGTCCACTGATAAGACTGAGTGTCTCCAGCCAGAAGAGAATCTTTTCACTTCCAACAACCATTTTTACTAACATTGCAAGTCCAGATTCAAACACAACTTTCTGCAGATGGTTGGCCCAATATCCGGCATGAGTAGGATAGATTGAGTCCGATATTTCGGTTAATTTTATCCTGCAAATCAACTACCTCAGAGTTGCAACAGTAAGAACTATCCAATCCACAGATGTTGAATTTCAGTTCTTTGCACAGGGTGTGCAATGAAGTAAACGCAAGAGCACTATCCATGCCAGTGCTCGAGACACCAACACAATATACCCCACTTCGCGAGTGATTGGTGAGGAAGTCATAGAAGGATGCATGGAGAGGTCGAACAACGGAGCACCTGTCTACAATGCCACTCAACAGCAGGCGCCATAAATTCGAGAATGATAATGATGTCGAAATGGTCTTCCTCGGAGGGGAAGTGACTGCGCATCTCATTTAAAGTTCCCATTTGCTGAGGGACAGACATTGAGATGATCTGTTGCATGACGGAGCGAAATCGAGCGAGTGTGATGTCGTCCTCTGGTACAGTGTCCCCAAGGATTGTGCTGTACATGAAGTCCAGCAAGGTTCCCCCACTTTGGACATGAGGGGACATGATTTCATTGTAGCGGTCCCTGACTGTTCTGCCTGGCCTGTTCGGCCTAATGAACCCACATGCTAGACGAGCCCATTCAAATAGGCCATCTGATTTCCAAGTAATGTTTTGGATTTATGTGGCACCAATCTCTCGAAGATCACCGAGTTCACTGGAGACAGTACAGTTCGATGTCGTGTTCCACAGATATTGCAGGAATATCATCCAATGACATTGTCTTCACAGTGAGAAGTGACACGCAGGACCTGTTCAATGTCTGGCAATGGTCTGGACGTCAAAAAGATGCGGAAACTGGAGGGTAGACGAGCAGCTTCTTTCGACGTGAGAAGATGTAGGATGTGCTCTCTCGATGTGTCCAGTCCACTTTCATCCAAGGCATCGATCACGACGACCACATTCCCGACTATCGCCCCATTAACCTTGCACAGCGGTTCCAAAATCAAATGCTGCCATTGTTGCATTATGTCAGGCGTGGTCCGGAGGGAGCGGTCCTTTGCAACTATGTCGGCCAATGCGCGTCGAAACGCTGGATCACGGTCTGCCAGATCACGAGCAATCGTCGTCAGAATCTTCTCTTGGTGGCGCTCAGCGTGCCTGTCACGAGCGAAGCAGAAGCAGGACCCAAGTCCCCCAGCGTCCTTGATCCATGATGCAATTGTATGGGCAATGGCTGATTTTCCCCTTCCGGCTTGCCCGTGAAGCCACAGAATGCGAGGAGCGTTGACATCGGGGTCATTAATCCAATCAATGATCTCCTGCAAAATCTCTGTCCTCGTACCGTCGAGGCACTTCTTTGTCATATTGAAGCTCGCTCCATCTGCGTAAGCCATGCCTTCAAGGCTAAGGTCCTCAAATATGCAGTATGTGTTGACGCGAGTGTCCCGAACCGCACGATCGCGGTATTGTTGCATCAAGCTATCTAGAGTCTTGACGTAACCATTGACAATTGTCTGTGTTTCAGAAAAGACGTTCTTTTTAGCCCTCAACCCTAAGGATGTATCGTATCAAATCTCGGAGCCGAAAGGAGCACAAAACTTACAGAAGCTTTTCGTCTCAAAGTAGTTTTTGACGAACTGTGCAGACTCGCTTATCACACGCGCAATCTGCACAAGGGTATCTTTCATATTTTCAATATAGTTAAGGGTGTCTGGCTCCGATAGAAATTCGTAGACCTGTCGGACCATATCAAGAAGGTCGGATACCGCGTTATCCAGATTTGCGTGATGTATGAACAACTACAGACGATTAAGCAGGATGAAGAATGATAATAGTAGTCTGAAATGTACCTGAGAAGCAAACGTTAAGACCACCAAGGCAATCCAGGCATAGGGATGGACCTGGAACCCGTATGTGATCGTTGCAAGGACGCAAAACCGGCACACTCATGTTGGTAAGAGTGGTAACGACTTGATTGAAGACCTTGAATGGTTTAAGATATGTATCGCTCATGTTTTGAGCCTCGATGACTGCGCTATCTGCCCGACCGACCGCGTCGACAGCACCTTTACCAATACGCGACATAGAACCCATGTCGTCGAATGCCTTGACTGCAGCATCAACGTCCTTGCCAATTGCCGCCGTTGCCGGTTCTGGTTCTAATCTGTTGGTTAACTTTTTAGTCTGTTCCAACAGAATCATTTAGTCATAATCGTAAATGGTATTCGGGAATCACATACATCCTGTATTGGCGTCACTTCGAGTCCCTCTCGTCGCTCCTGAGTTCCACCACCAGTATCGGTATCGACAGTCTTCGATGAATCACTCAGTATCATCACGGTGACTGAATATGGCTTGCAACGTACTACCTCTTGGACCGGACCTGCATGGTGTAGGTGTCCTTGTCCCTGCGCTTCCGCACAGGGGACTGTACCAGCAGCTTCGGTCGCAATGGTGGTCGAAAGGCCTTTGTTCGATCGGTGGAAGAAGCGTTTCATTCTGGCGAACATTCCCAGAGAGGTCATACCCGACGTTTCAGACACAGGGCCAACGTCCCCTGCCCGAGCTTGAAGTCGTCCTGGCGGCTAATTTCTCGCGGATCCAGAAGTACATATCCAGCAAAGGATAGTAACATACCAAAGCAAGACTGGCCGTCGAGTTGGCCGTCTTCGCGAATCCCAAGAGACGGCGTTTCTTTGATTGCGTTCTGGCCATTGAGAAACAGGTGTTTGGTGAAAAATCAAGGGCTGATTCGGGGTTGGAGGTGCAGACAAGGAACTAGTGATGACGGTGTTCGAAATTAGACGCCATCAACGCATTGTAGCTGGTGCACGAACGTCAGAATTGTGTAGTACTGCGCATCGCCCCCTAGGATGTTTCACCTGTCCATCCTATTCCCCTGTCCTCGTCCACACCCATGACTCTGGATGATCATGATTCAGAGAATCGGTAAAAGACGGAAACGGGGAAATCTTCTTGATGAACATCGAGACGTAGCTCTGTCCTGGAACAGTGTGCGAATGGGCCAAGAGCAGGTAATATTGCTGAGGAGTCAGGCCGTGACAGCGGAAAGAGTTGGTGGCGGTCGATCGCACGCGATGGCGGAAATGACAAACGGTTTGCTGATTTTTCGCGCAATTCTGGTGACGTTTTTCCAACGTATAGGCCTTCGGTGGAGAAGGATAGGGATAACACCCCTAAGTCTAATACCATTCTTTGCTCCCGTCCTCGTACTCGTCGTCTTCGGACTTGCCTATGCAAACACAAACCCACTCTTGTACAGAAATGGTACGTTATTTCGCCACTGGGACTGTTCGTCATCGGTCCCCGTTTCAGATGAGGTGCGTCGTGCTATGTACACACGGGCCGAAGGCGTCGGTTTTAGTAGCGTATCGACGCGCTCGTGCCTGCTGATTTATCATCTGTACAGGCGGCCAGGGGTCCCGCATATACAAGGTAAACTATCGTCCGATATCGCAACCCATCATTGACGCGACTTGACAGATCAGCCGACATCGAGGAGATATGCACGGGAAGTGGGAAGATACGCGCGAAGGTCGGCTTTCTTCCTGCCCCGCCAACGTATCTCGGGATTGACTCGTCCCGCTTACTCCACTACCAGACCCTCACTGTTGTGAATCAGTGAATGCCGGCTCGAACTGATACCTTACCGACAGGCTGCCCCGATAGCCTGTTTACTCGATGGAAACCCAGTATTCTCACCTTTGTATTCATGTGTTGCAAGGGGCATGTGGCATAACAGTTAACCCCAGCGTCGAATATCATTCTGGCAATACCAAAGTTACATCTTTGAATAACCTTTTTCTGTAAAAACTCGAGGTCGAAGTACAGTGAGTCTCGAGTAACTTCATGCATGAAAATCTTCCATGATCATAATCGCCCGCGCAATTGCGTCTCATAATCTGACATCCCCCTATTTGAACATCGTCACCTCTCCCTTCCTTATTTGAATCTCTTTTTTCTTTGCCAACCTCCCAGTGTCGATCTTGTCCGCGAATTTCAGGCCTGCAGTAACGAGTTCTCCGACATCAATTGCGCATGCCTTGATTGAATCGACGACGATCGTCCCTACTCGTTCCGCGACACTACGGTCTGTTTCAACCATACTCAGTTTGAAGCTGCCAGCGAGATTGATATGTGAGCTGGGTGATATCACTTGGAGGGGAATGCAGTCGAGTGGATGAGTTTCTGCGTAAATTACATTTGCATGGTCTCGAATGTCGGTCGTATCGCCCAATACAAGCAAGTCCTTCAAATACGGCAGGGGCGATTCATGTAGTACGGGGAGCAGATTTTCCAGAAATACATCCTTTGAATGACTGACATTGCACGGCGCCTCACGGGCGAAAAGGCACGAATATAAAGATCCACGTCGGCCCCAATCGGTTTCCCAATGCCGAAGGCGATCAACTGACTGGCAATGATGTAGACAGCTTCGAGAGAAGTGAGGGTGTCACATGGACAGAGCTTATCAGCTGTAGTATGTGCCTTGCCCGATTTTATAAGGCACATATATGAGATGAGTCCACACTAACGGCCGTCCTCAAGGCTGCCAGTGTGTGCTCATGTTCATGATCTCCTTCACACGCCTGCTTTCCTCTTACACGGGGATGGTCGAAGCGAGCAAACCACGTTATTATCGGCGAAGGTAGGAACTGAAATGACCTTGATCACGGTTCCCGAAGTCAATATCGAAGTAAGCGCTTTGGTTATTCAGGCAGACATCAGCGGCATAACGAGTGACGCTCTCCGTACTCCATTGGATTTCAACGATGTCGACGCGCTGTGCATCTCGGGATCGAATGTGACCTTGCACTGCGCCACAGTTAGTCCCAAGATGAGCCGCACCATTCTTGCAGTCGCTTCATTGACAACTGTCTGGCGGTGTCTATGCATGGTGGAGTTTCTTGGGAGTGGTTGGCATCAATGTCTTTTCAGCGCAATATGCGCACTCCGTAAGGTGCAGCTCTCGGGGTGCCTAGTGGACCGGTTATTCCACCGCTATCGATAATGTAAGCTTGGTCATTGTCTCCGTACCTTGCTTGTACTTCCCTACTCCCAACGACTTCATTCGGGGAACATGCTTCCAATTGGTTACGCAATGCCAGCTAACTCGCATTGTAGGCACGGCTAGAGTTGTGTCTCCGTGATCTGCAAGACGCCATGGCTCTACTGCGGGAGTTTCTTTCAACACACAGTTGTCTGCCAGCTTTGTCACTTCAGTCGTCCATGGGCAGACTCTCAATTTTTCACTTCACCTAGTTGTAAATCACTGCAACACACTCACCATCTGGCCTTGCCCATTCATTGCACAGGCTAACTTGACTACGGAACGAGGCCTGGAATCGGACACTGAGATGAAGTCCCGGTCACCGACTGTAGCAATTCAAATCCATGGACCATGGGTTCAGGCAGGGCAGATGTTATTGAACACGTTACAGTACATATTATTCTTGCAAAGCACCCGCGGGGATCAAGGTAGATTCTGGTCTTTAGAGTCGCTGCTTGCATTTCTCGGTGAATGATCGTAAGGTAACGACGCTTACTGTGCAGGTCTTGTAGCGTGTTCGCGCTTGCGTTGACGGACGTTTGGCAGACGCACTGGGGGAGACCGGTCCAACCCTCCAAGCCTGTGCGAATTGGTTGCGCCTTGAATGCCATTGCAGCACGGGGGCTCCCTCCACGGTACATAGCAGAAAGAAAATACGACGGAATTTGAAAAAGCGGTACGCGACATCCTCTGGTCAAGAGACGGGTGGCGGACCTCCTCCACATTGCAAATGTCGGTCTACTGGTCTCCGCCGTAGTCCGCACGCAACGTTAGTACATCTTTGTAGTAGTATCTTCTGCATTCTCCAATCAAACCATTTTACCCTTCTCCTTAGTCGCGTCTCGGTCCGTCAGCAGGTTGGCGAAGTTGTTGAATAACCCCTCAGTTCGAATTGTCAAGGTCGTCACTCAATGTCTCACGATCGCGTATGCGCTCCTCATCTGTACCCTGTAAGAGATTTTCCACTAACCGCATTGGCATCACTCAGCATCTTCGCCTTCTCTTGTCATTCGTCAGATGCTCCAATCGTACACAGCAACTGGAATGGGCTTTGTTGTCCCAGTGTAAATCTGGGATAGTGGATTTCGCCCAGCTGACAACGGAATTAAGTTATCCGCCATCGGGTTCATGTAGAAAGTCATCCTCTTGCAATTCCGTGATATTTCTAATCTTAGGGTACGTGTCTTACTTTTCCCTCCTGGGATTGGAACCAAATTAATGCAAATTGAGCAGCTTCAAAATAAGAACGACCCCAACATTGCCATCGTTCCCGTGGACCACTCGTTTATATCCGCGTCTGCTCTGGAGGCAGAGGTAATGAAGTTGTTGGAGAACATGCTCATGGTGGTGTACTCAAGCCAGTGAGCTTACCCGAATTCGACCTCCTCCCCCGCACGGCGAGGTCTCTCATCATAATGATCACTCGGATTCATTCTACAGGGAACCTGATATCCTCACGGCCATCGTCAACAACTGCAACATTCTCATCAAGCAACGACCTTCGTCGGTTCACTTGATCGTTTCTTCTCTGGTTTCGTGGACGCCAGTTTCCCTTGCCGGACTACCGGCGTCTGTGATCAGGGGCGTGGAAAAGAGCATTCGAATATTACCTGTACACATATCCAGGTAAGTCTAAGGGTCACGAAACATATCTCGGGTTGTCTGTTGAGCTCCTTTTGTAGAGATCCTCACAGTTCGGCCTTCGGTGCCCAGATTAACAAAGCTTTCGCCATACAAGTTGAACGTATAGAACGTGCTTCCGCCGAAGAGAAAGCACCAAGGGCAGCTATCGCAGCTGCAGCAACTGAGACAACTCGTAAACGCCCGCCTTCCTCCATTTCTGCAGAAGAAAAAAAAGATCCAAAATGTCCAACAGCCGAAGTCGACAGTGGAGCGGCAAACTCTGCGGTATTCCTTGCTGCGTTCAACTCTACCACGCTCCCGGTCAGACTCGTAACGGACCTCATTGTTGCTAATCTGCAAGCGTTCTCGAAGTCCGCATTAATGAATTTGGTTCAATCGTATCGACAAAGTAGAGGATTACCATCCGTACCACCAGCTAAGCCCCCTCGGCCACCAGACTCTGTTGCTCGTACCGAAGGTACCTTAGTTGGCGGCACGCTCGCAGGTGCCGAAACTGTCAAGGAGGAAGTGTCGACCCATTGAAAATGGATATCGATGAAGAGGAAATGGAGTATGAACCGGACAAATTGAACCTGGAAGTTAGTGCCTTATTTCAACTGTGGTCGGAATCACCTGACTTAGCTTTCATTCTCTAGATTTCCGCTGAAGAAGCTGCCGCCTACAAGGATATTCCTGACGACTGTCCCCTTGATCTGTTAGATTTCAAGCTCCCGTCACCCAAAGACCTCTCCGCGGACGAACGGGTCGCTCTCATGCGGAGCGCTACCACTCGAATATGGGATAGTGCGGAGGATATACGGCGTACAACTTCCATGTGCAGTAGTCAGACTTCCAGTGACATGTGGATGGTGCTCATCGTTCCCGTGACCACTCGCGCGGTTATACTTCCCGGAGCATCTGAATCACCAAAAGACGATGCCGAATCGAGCGATGCGACGGACACAACTAACGGCGTTGTATTCGCGGCAAGATGCGCTCCGGCAGACCCTTTGCGAATATATCATGAACGATTTTCCTTCTAGGTTTGTTTTGACAGCTTTTTTTGTTCCTTTGCGATGACAGCCATGAAAACATCTCATAACAGGTTACACTTGGCGATTACTTGGATGAATGAAGAGTGGCACAACGACCGCATACGAAGTGCGGCTGACCCCGATTGCGTATGTTCAACATGTGACTTTACCTGCAGCTCCTCTGCTGACTACTGCCCAGCGCCCGAATTACCAGTCGTGGCTAAACCAAATCATTTCTACGTATCAGACCGTCCTGGAAGGCAATGCTGATGAAAAACCTGACAGTAAAGACAAAGCGTTCTCGAGGTTTTCGTTGGACTTGCCAGATGTACCCTCGGACATTTGGGACATACTCCGTGACCTTTCCGTCAACGTAGAAAAGCTGGCCCTGTATTGCCTCGTGATTAATTCGGATCATTGATTGACTTAGCAGGATGCACGTGGGCTTCGCGATGCTCCGAGACTTGTTTTGGAGCGGCCATTGTTACGGGCAGAGGCATTGCACGCGCTATTGGATTTGACGACTCATCCAGATTCGGTTGCACGGCGTGCAACTATTAATATGGTGAGGCGGTGGGTCCCAGGCATAGAAGCCCTGCATAGCATGATTCGAGACTTCGCCTTGCAAATTCTACGGTGCTTGCAGAAACGACTGTCTCAAGAAAGCAAAGGCACTAATGGTAAAGTGTGAGGCTGAAGTTGATAATATGGAAGATGGACAACTTCCACCGGAGGAGCTTATCCAGACGCCATACCTTATCGACGAAATACAGCTTCCGGCGGAGAAGTCGCATGTTCTTCAACACGTCGAGCTCCTCTTCGCTCTATCTGTCAAAATTCCCGAGTTCTGGGATAGGTATGTGTCACCCGCCCATTTTTATGGTGTAAGCTTATGCTTTATTTGCGTCCAGGATCGTTGTGTCGTACAGCCAAATGGACGTCACTGTACAGGAGGCCATACAAGATCTCATAATGGCACTGATCAAGTCGTTGGGCTGGGGCAACGGGAAACTCCTGACGCTCATGCGGACGTGCCCGGCTGGCTCTGAATCGTTGGCTCTTCGGGTGTTGACGATCTTCATGGAACACGGGCGACCGAGTGCACAGCTGGTTGCGCTGGTCAAGGGTCTCATTTCAGAGCGCGGTCCCGATGCACATTTCCTGATACCGATCGTCGCAGAGATGGACAAGGTGGACATCATGCGGCACCTCCCCCGTATCGTCTCTACCCTCGATGGGCAGCCGGAGCCGAAGAACTTGGTTCGGTTGGTATTCAGCTCTATCGTGACGACGCCTCCGCAGACGTTTGGAAGCGCGACATCAAGTTTACTGCGTGCACGACAGAGCGAGTTGCTCACGCCTGCTGAATTAACGGTGCTTATGCACGAGGCTGAGAAAGAGATTGGGTTGATGAGCGCGATCGAAGGTATGTGTTAGTGGTTCCATTCTTTGGTTTTCTTTGTGGGTTCTAATGCCATGAGGGAATCGAAACAAGCCATTGGGATTTGTTTTTCCATGACGGATATTTTCCGTTCTGAGATCCTTGCTGTGGTGATGCAGCAAATTGTTGACGAACCAGTTCTTCCAGTATTGTTCCTACGGACGGTGCGTATTGCTGCATAAATAGGGAGCCACGAATGATGGGCTAACCATGAATTGACGAACATGTCATCCAAATGGTAACGGCATATAAGTCACTCATTCCGTTCGTCTCGACATCACTCTTGTCGTGGTTAATCACGAAGGAAACTGGCAAAACCCTCACTTGTGGGAGGGTTTCATTCGTTGTGCTAAAGCGATCGCTCCAGCTAGTTTTGGGACACTGCTCCAGCTTCCTAAAGAACAACTGCGTGAGCTATTGGACAAGCAGCCGAATTTAAAATCCGGTCTGCGGGAGTACCGTTGCCAAGAGCCCAGGGAATCAGGCGAGGGTGGCTGGGTTTCTGGATATCTTCGGGGACAACGATAATACGCCGGTGGATGCTGTGATTGCCATGCCTGCATAGCATGCTTGTACTACTACTTTATGTGATCAGGAAGTTAAAGAGATGGACCTGTATTTATGTTGAGAAGCTATTGCACCTCTGATAGCTGAGTGGTAAATAGGGCATGAATCTCATTGGCATCCAATGTAACCTGTTGTGCTGAAGCATATGTCCTCATTCAATCATCTTTCCCAATTCCAAGAGACATTTGCATGGAATGCTAAAATGAACATTAGGACCTGTGGCCATCTAATCAAAATGATGATCCATGAAATGTGAGATTCTCATTCCAAAGCATTGAACACTGCTTCTGTAATATGGAATACAAAGTTACAGTATGTAGGCAATACAAGAGTTAAACAGCTGGCTTGAAACATTGATGCTACATTGTACTATGAACTATCTGGCTTAAGTCCAACTCTATACAGCTACCCTTGGGGATTACTACTGTGTTCCACATTGAATAAAATGGACTCCAGAATGTTGGAGGTATCCAAAGCAACAGTCTCCCCTTTGGGCCTCTGATCCAGCCATCATTAAAACACTTCACTGGCTCATATATCACATCCCCATCTTCCTCCAGAAGTCCATAAAGGAGTTCTTGAGTGTTCAATAAGCCATGTGAAAAGATTGATGAAAAGCAGATTGGATAAGCTGTGATAAATTTAAGTTGGCCAAATAGTGTGAGGACAGATGAAAAATGATTATGACTCACAATTAATGATGCAAGATAGAACATTTACACCCTCTGGGTTGTAGGCAACATCCATTGAGTGGCCAGCTTCATGACCACCAGTCTCCCAGGCCATGTTATTCTCTGACCCTAAGAGGGTCCTCCTGCCATCAGAGGATTGAACTGAGTTGACCCTCCCACTGTGCCCCAGGAGACATTGATCCATCTGGATGATTCTCTCAGCATCCCAGATCCTCACAGTCTTATCAAAAGAGCCTGAGACAATCTTGTTGCCATCAGAGGAGAATCCAACTGAGGTGACCCTATCAGTATGTCCCTGAAGAGAGCCACCAATCTGGACACCTCTCTCAGCATCCCAGACCCTCACAGTCTTGTCAGATGAGCCTGAGACAATCCTCTTGCCATCAGAGGAGAATCTGACTGAGTTGACTGCACCAGTGTTCCCCTGAAGAGGGAAACCAATCTGGACACCTCTCTCAGCATCCCAGATCCTCATGGTCTTGTCCTTTGAGCCTGAAACAATCCTCTTGCCATCAAAGGAGAATCCCACTGAGCTGACCCAATCAATATGCCCCTGAAGAGGCCCACCAATCTGAACACCTCTCTCAGCATCCCAGATCCTCACAGTGTTGTCAGAAGAGCCTGAGACAATTCTCTTCCCATTAGATGAGAATCTGACTGAATAGACCCCACCAGAATGCCCCTGAAGAGGGCCACCAATCTCAACCACTCTCTCAGCATCCCAGATCCTCACCATCCTGTCAGAAGAGCCTGACACAACCCTCTTGCCATCAGAGGAGAATCCAACTGAGTTGACACAATCACTATGCCCCTCAAGGGGACCACCAATCTGGACACCTCTCTCAGCATCCCAGATCCTCACAGTCTTATCAAAAGAGCCTGAGACAATCCACTTGCCATTGGAAGAGCATCCAACTGAGTTGACTGCACCAGTATGTCCCTGAAGAGGGCCTCCAACCTGGACTGCTCTCTCTATATCCCAGATCCTCACAGTGTTGTCATCTGCACCTGAGACAATCCTCTTTCCATCAGAGGAGAATCCAACTGAGTTGACTCTATCATTATGCCCCTCAAGAGGGCCTCCAAATGGGATACCTCTCTCAGCATCCCAGATCCTCACAGTGTTGTCAAAAGAGCCTGAGACAATTCTCTTGCCATCAGAGGAGAATCCAACTGACTTGACCCATTGAGTATGCCCCTCAAGAGGGCCACCAATTTGGACTCCCCTCTTAGCATCCCAGATCCTTACAGTCTTGTCAGAAGAACATGAGACAATCTTGTTGCCATCAGAGGAGAGTTCAACTGAGTTGACCCAATGAGTATGTCCCTGAAGAGGGCCACCAATCTGGACACCTTGCTCAGTATCCCAGATCCTTACAGTCTTGTCATTTGAGCCTGAGACAATCCTCTTGCCATCAGAAGAGAATCCTACTGAGTTGACCCAATCACTATGTCCCTGAAGTGGGTCATCAATCTGGACTCCTCTCTCTGCATCCCAGATCCTCACAGTGTTGTCATCTGAGCCTGAGACAATCTTCTTGCCATCAGGGGAGAATCTAACTGAGTTGACACAATCATTATGCCCCTCAAGAGGGCCACCAGTCTGGACACCTTTCTCTGCATCCCAGATCCTCACAGTGTTGTCATCAGAGCCTGACACAATCCTCTTCCCATTAGATGAGAATCCAACTGACAGGACTACACCAGTATGCCCCTCAAGAGGTCCACCAACCCCAACAACCCTCTCAGCATCCCAGATCCTCACAGTCTTGTCAGAGGAGCCTGAGACAATCCTCTTGCCATCAGAGGAGAATCCAACTGAGAGGACCCCACCAGTATGCCCCTCAAGGGTAATCTGGACACCCTTCTGAGCATCCCAGATCCTCACAGTCATATCAGAAGAGCCTGACACAATCCTCTTGCCATCAGAGGAGAATCCAACTGACAAGACCCCACTAGTATGGCCCCACATTGCAACTTGAGCAGCTGGCCATTCTTTAAGCCCTCCTACAGAAACCCTAACAAGGTGAGAAAATTTTGCCATGAGCATTCTAGCAAATATTGTGTTTGATGGTGTAAATGGTAGTGCAGAAATATAGAGGTGTGGGGTGCTGTGGGAGATCACACTCCCAAAGTTCTGCACAAATTTGATCCCATCTTGTGTTGATGCCAAGGTTTCCTCAAATCCATCCTGGCCCTTGAACATTAGATTAGGAGACATCAATCACCATGCTGTTTCACCCACCTGTAGCCATAATATTGTACAGGCAAGAGCACTTGAAGCTTGTCCAAGTCCACCAATAAGACTCAGTGCCTCCAACCAGAAGATAATCTTTTCACTTCCAACAACCATTGTCACCAATGTTGCAAGTTTAGAGTTAAATGCAACTTTCTGCAGATGGTTGGCCCAGTATTGGCACGAGTAGGATAGATTGCACGAGATATTTTGATTGATTCTCTCCTGCAAATCAGCTACCTCAGAGTTACGGCAGTAGGAACTGTCCAATCCACAGATGTTGAATTTCAGGTCTTTGCACATGGTGTCCAATGAAGCAAAGGCAAGGGCACTATCCATCCTAGTGCTGGATGCACCAACGCAGTATACCCCACTCCGTGAGTGATCAATGAGGAAGTCGTAGAAGGATGCATGGAGAGGTCGAACAACGAAACGCCTGTCTGCAATACCACTCAACAGAGGCGCCATGAATTCGAGAATGATAACGATGTTGAAATGCTCTTCCTCCGAGGGGAAGTGACTGCGCATCTCATTTAAGGTGTCCAGTTGCTGAGGTGCAAATGTTGACATAATCTGCTGCATCACAGAATGGAACCGTGCAAGCGTGATCTCATCTGGAGGTACCATATCCTCCAGGATTGTTTTGTACATCACATCTAACAGGGCTCCCCCGCCTCCGGAACGAGGGAACATGATCTCTTTGTAGCACTCCATCACCGTTCGACCTGGCCTATTCGGCCTTACGAACCCACAGGCCAGACGAGCCCACTCAAACAGACCATCTGACTTCTCAGCAATTCTTTGCACTTCCGCAGTGCCAATCTCTGGAAGATGGCGAAGTTCGGTGGAAACATATAATCGGATGTCGCGCTCAGCGGATACTGCCGAGATGGAATCTAACGAGGTGGCTTTAACATGCACAGCAGTACCCAGGACACGTTCGATGTCTGGGAGCGGTCTGGACGTCAAAAGGATGCGGAAATTGGAAGGCAGATGGGCAGCTTCCGGTGAGGTGAGAAGAGATAGGATGTGCTCTCTCGATTTCTCCGGCCCGCTTTCATTTAGGGCATCGATCACCACGACCACTTTCCCGACTATCACCCCATTGACCTTGGACAGCGGCTCCAAAATAAGCTGCTCCCACTGCTGCACCACGTCAGGCGTGGTCTTGAGCGAGTGGTCCTTTGACACGGCGTCTGCCAACGCTCGCCGAAACGCTAGGTCACGATCAGCCAAATCCCGAGCAATCGTCGTCAGAATCTTCTCCTCACGGTGCTCGGCCTGCCGGTCACGAGCAAAACAAAAGCAAGACCCGAGTCCTCCCGCGTCCTTGATACACGACGCAATCGTATGAGCGATGGCCGACTTTCCCCTTCCCGCCTGCCCATGAAGCCACAGGATGCGAGGAACATCGACGTTGGGATCGTTAATCCAGTTGATGATCTCCTGCAAAATCTCCTTCCTGGTGCCGTCGAGGCATTTCTTCGTCTTGTTCAGCCCCGCTCCCCCTGCATAAGCCATTCCATCCAGACTCAAGTCTTCAAATATGCGGTACGTGTTGACATGAGTGTCCCGCACGGCGCGGTCGCGGTATTGTTGCATCAAGCCGTCTAGAGTCTTAGTGTAGCCATCCACGACGGTCTGAGTCTCAGAGAAAATATTCTTCGCAGTTCTTTTCCCTGGTGGGGTATTGTGTCACGGTACGGGAACCGAGATGAGGATATGACCCACAGAAGCTTTTCGTTGCAGAATAGTTGTTGATGAATTGCGCCGAGTCGCTTATCGATCGCGCGATCTTCGCAAGGGTATCTCTCATCTTGTCAATATTGTTTATGCTATCTCCTTCCGCAAGAAATTCGTAAACGCTTTGCACCTTGTCGAGGAGATCGGACACCGCCTTGTCTACATTCGCTTGGTTGATGAGCAACTACAGACGACTACGTGAGACGCGAAACGCCTGTGATGAGCAGCCACGAACCTGAGCGGCAGAGGTTAAGATTCCTAGTGCAATCTGGGCATAGGGGTGGACCTGAGACGAGCATGCGATCATTACATGGGTGCAAAAAGTGAAACGCTTACATTGGCAAGAGTGGAAACGGCTTGATTGAATACTTTGAAAGGTTTGAGATACGTATCACTCAAGTTTTGAATCTCGGAGAATGTAGTATTGGCGATACCGACGGCATCAATAGCACCTTTGGTGATATGCGGAATGGGACGGAGGCCGACAAATTCTTTTACTGCAGAATCGACATCATTGCCAGCCGACGCTTGGGTGGGTTCTGGTTCTGGTTTGGCGGCTGACTTTCCAACCTGTCCAGCCGAATCATTTCATTATCGTAGCAGCCGCACATCACAAATCACATACGCTCTTAGTCTGAAATGCCTGGGACTTCCCTTCTTGCTCTCGAGCCCCACCAGTGGGACTTGTGGCACCAGTCTGTTCAGCGAATCAAACGCTCAGTGTCGTCGTATCAATTGGATGTAGTAGATTACATACATCTGGAGCCGCCTCTGACTGCTCCTGAGTCCTCCCGCCAACCCCTGTATTAGCAATTTCTGTCGCGACGGTGGTTGGAAGATCTTGGTTCGATCGACGGAAGAAGCGCTTCGCTCTGGCGAGCATACCCAGGGAGGCCGGGACCGACGTGCCAGGCATGGAGGTCAAATCTCCTGCTCGAGCCTCGGACCGTCCTGGTGGCTTTTTTTTTTTTTTTTGAGATTGATTGATGCATCTCGGCAAAGGAATGGCTACGCACCGAGGCAAGGCCTGCCGCTGAACTGGATTTCTTCGCAAATCCCAAGAGACGACTTTTTCTTGGATGCGTTCTAGCCATTGAGAAATGGGTATGTTGTAAGTTTGAACTTGAGGTTGAGGTTGAGGGTGTACCGGGTAAACGAGGAAGTGGTGCTGTTCGAAATTAGACGCCATGATCACGCTCTATATGGCGCACGGACCAGCATGCACAATGCCGGATTTAGTGCACATTGCCCCTGTGTTGTGCTCCACATCGTCATATGTCGGTCTAGTCAGTAACTGTCTAAAACTCAGCACGCAACGTTAGTACTTCTTCGTAGTAGCTTCTGCATTCTCAAATCAAACCATCTTACCCATCTTCTCCTTAGTCGCATCTCAGCCTTGGTAAATTTGTTGAATGACCCCTCCGTTCGAGCCGTCAAGGTCGTCATGTCTCACGACCGCGTATCCGCTCCTCATCCGTACCCTGCAAGAGGTTTTCCACCAACCGCATTGACCTCACCAATGTCTTCGTCTTGTCTTGTTATCATCAGATGCTCCAGTCATATACAACGACAGCAATGGAATTTGTTGTTCCAGTGCAAAACTAGGATGCTGGATTTCGCCCGGTTGTCTACAACGAACAATGGGATGAAGCTATCCGTTAACAAGTTGATCCTCTTGCAAAAATTGTTGGAGAACGTGATCACGATATTGTACACTAGCCAGTGGGCTTTCCCGAATTCGACCGCTGCCCTCGAACGACGAGGTATCTCGTCGTGATGATCACACGGATTCATTCGACGGGGAACCTAACATCCTCACTGCCATCATCAAAAGCTGGAGCACTCTCATCAAGCAACGACCTTCGACGATGCACTCGATTGTTTCGTCTCTGAATTTGTGGACGCCAGTTTCTCCTGCGGGTCTACCGACTTCCGCGATCAAAAGCGCGGAGAACGGCATTCGAATATTACTTGTACACGTATCCAGGAAGTCTAAGGATCACGAAACATATCGTTGTCTGTTGAGCTCCTTTTGTAGAGGTCTTCATGGTTCGGCCTTCGGTGGCCAATCAACGAAGCCCCCGCCGTACAGGTTCAACGCATGGAACGTGCTCCCGCCGAAGAGAAAGCACGAAAGCAGCTGTCACAGCTGCAGCGACCGAGGCAACACGCAAACACCAGTCTCCATCTATTCCTCCAGGAAGAACAAACAGATCCTAAACGTCTAAAAGCCGAAGTTAATAATGCCGGGGTGAACTCTGCGAAATTCCTCGCTGCATTCGATTTTACGACACTTCCGATCGGATTCGTAATGGACCTCATTGTTGCTAATCTGCAAGCGTTCTTAGAGCCCGCATTAATGAACTTGGTTCAATCGTATCAACAAAGCAGAGGTTTACCATCCGTACTGCCAGCTAAGCCCCCTCAAACACCAGATTCTATTGTTCGTACCGAAGGTACATCAGTCAGCGAGACACTCGCAGGTGCCGAGGCTGTCAAGGAGGAAGCTGTCGACCAATTGGAAATGGGGTATGATCCAGACAAATCGAACTTGGAGGTTAGTCTTTGGTTTCCGCTGTGGTCGGAATCACCTGACCCAGCGTTCGTTATCAAGCTTTCCGGTGAAGAGGCTGCCACCTGTGAGGAAATGATATCACTGAATATTTCTGATGACTTGCCCTTTGTCCTGTTTAATTTCAAGCCCCTGTGACCCGAAGACCACTCCACGGATGAACGGATCACTCTCATTCGGGACGCTGTAACTTGAATATGGGACGGCGCAGAGGACCTGCGGCATATGACTTCCATAGGCAGTCGTCAGACTTGTTCTTCACTCGCATGATCATTAAGGTGGTTATGATTCCCGGAGCTTCTGAGTCTCCAAAAGACGACGACAAAGCGAGTAATGTGGCGGAAACTCAGCTAACGGCACTGTACTCTCGCCAAGATGCACTCTGACAGACCCTTTGCGAATATGTCATGAACGATTTTCCTTCTAGGTTCGGTTTAACAACCTTTTTTTTTTGTTTCTCCGCGATGACAGCCATGAATATCTCATATCAGGTTATGCCTGGCAATTACTTGGATGAATGAAGAGTGGCGAACGACCGGATACGAAGTGCCGCTGACCCCAATCGGGTACGTTCAACGTGTGACTTTTAGCTGCAGCTCCTCAGCTCAACACTTCCCAGAGGCCGAGTTACGAGTTGTGGCTAAACCAAATCATTTCTACGTATCGGACCGTTCTGGAAGGCAAGGCTGACGGAAAATCGGACAGTAGAGACAAAGCGTTCTGGAGGTTTTTGTTGGACTTGCCAGATGTACCTGGGAACGTTTTGGACATACTCTGTGACCTTTGCGCCGAGGTACAAAAGTTGGTCCTTTATCGCGCCGTGATTAACTTGGATCATCGATTAATTTAGCAGGACGCACGCGGGCTTCACGACGCTTCGAGACTTGTTTTGGAGTGGCCATCATTACGGGCGAAGGCATTGCGCGTGCTATTGGATTTGACGACTCATCCAGATTCGGTTGCACGGCGTGCAGCTACCAATACGGTGAGGCAGTGGGTCCAGGCGTAGAGCCCTGCATAGCATGATTCGAGACTTCGCCTTGCAAATCCTACCGCACTTGCAAAAACGATTGTCTCAAGAAAGAAAAGGCGCCAATGATCAAGCGAATGGTGAGGCCGAAGATGATAGTATGGAAGATGGACAACTTCCAGCGGAGGAGCTTATCAAACACCACACCTTATTGACGAAATACGGCTTCCGGCGGAGAAATCGCATGTACTTCAACACGTCAAGCTCCTCATTGCCTTATCTGTTAAAATTCCCGACCTCCTGGATGAGTATGTGACACTTTCCCAGTCTTATGGTATTTTCTGTTGTCCAGCATCAGGAAAATAACACTTTACTATTTTTGACTTTTTGTGACTAATGTGACTTTTTGGGAAGGAATCTACTATCATTACCCATGTCCTGCAGGCATGGCTGCACTTGTCTTGCTGATTTTGGTCTTGTTCAAACCACCTAATTCATAGCTTTCAGTAGATACCACATACATTCAAATTGATGGAGGTTCCAAAGAGATATTGTGATTTTTCTCTCAGACAGTGTGCATCACACCAATGGCTCAATATCTCTGAATTTTCAGACATTTTCTAGTCTTCTTGGCTTAGATATATCATCACTTAGTTGTCTCAATAGATTCTGTTCTCTTTTCATTCTTCAAAATGCTGTATATGGTCAAAAAAAAAAGTACAGATAGTAGGTTCCTTCCCAAAAAGTCACAAATAGTCACAATAGTCACAAAAAAGTCAAAAAAAGTCACAAAAAGGTCAAAAATAGTAAAGTGTTAATTTCCTGATGAGAATGTTCGTATCATACAGTCAAGTAGACATCACCATACAAGATCTCATAACAGCACTGATCAAGTCATTGGGCTTGAACAATGGCAAACTCCTGACACTTGTGTGGATGTGCCTGCCTGGCCCTGAATCTTGGCTCTTCAGGTGTTAGTGATCTTCACAGAATATGGCCAACTGGGTGTACAGCTGGTTGTGCTGGTCAAAGGTCTCATTTCGGAGTGTGACCTCGATGCACATTTCCTGATACCAACCATTGCAGAAATGGCCAAGGTAGACATCATGAACCACCTCCCCCATATCATTTCTATCTTCAATGGGCAGCCAGAGCCAAAGGATTTGGTTTGATCAGCATTCAGCTCTGTTGTGACAACACCTCTGCAGGCATTTGGAGGTGTGACATCAAATTTGCTACATGTATGACAGAGCAAGTTGCTTACCCTGCTGAATTGATGGTGCTTCTGCATGAGGCTGAGAAAGAGATCTGGATAAAGAGCATGATCAAATGCATGTTTTGGTGGTTCCATTCTTTACATTTCCATGTGTGTACTCATGCCATCAGGTGATCAAAATTAGCCATTGGGATTTGCTTTTTCATGATGGATGTTTTCTGTTGTGGGATCCTTGCTGTGGTGATGCAGCAAATTGTTGACAAACTGCATCAGCAAAATGCCAAAATGCTTTCTGCATTTTTTGTGCACTTTTCACACTTTCTTTTAGCATGCATAGTCAGATAAGCATGAAACTGTCATCCATAAACCATAAACACATGTATTGGTACTTTTAAAAGTACAGTCAAAGTTCTCATAGTGAATAGTGTTGGGAAGGCCATTATTATGATGTATTATTAGATAAATTCAGCAAAAATGGTGTGACAGGTGTGACTAGCATGACTTCACTCTCCCATGAAACCCAGGTCACTGGTCCAGCATTGTCTGCTGCAGATTTCCCTGCTCCTGCTGCTGCAACTCAATCCTGAACTGTCAAAGATGTTGAGACAGGTCTGATAATGTCTCTCCAGTCCTACAGCTAATGCATATCTGCTCCATTTGTTCGAAAAGGTGAATCATCTCTCTGTGCCCCATTTCATCCCTGGCACCATTAGCATCAGCAAACCCATATTTTTGGCACAGTAGTCACAGGGTATCATAGTAGTCACAGGATGTCACAGGTCACACACAATGTAATGGCCCCATGACTAGAATGGCACACACTGTCCCACACCATCCCACAGACTCACAGTGTGACATATCCATGACTCTTGGACTCAATCCCAGTCCAGTCCAGACTGCTAGCCCCTATCTCTGGTCAAGTCTGGTCCTAGTCAGGCCTAGAAAACCTAACTCTGGCCCTAAGAAACCTAACTCTGGTCTAAATAACTCAAGTCCAGTGTTTTACCCCTATCTCTGGTCCACTCTGGCCTCCCAGCCCTGTGCTGCTCCACCCTGGTCCTCCCAGGTCCATGTCCAGGTCACCCAGACATAACTCCAGTCTGTTTTCCTTTGTTTGTACTATATTTAGCTTGGTCCATTCATCTGACTTTTGCTCACTGTACAAATCCTGTGTCTGACCCCAATTGTGCTGGTCACCCAGACTTTGACTATTAGCCTTGGCACAGCCCCTATGGCTGTCCACACTCTTGCTAATCATCTTGCTAATTGCTTATTCACAAGTCTGGCTTCATGTTCATTACTCTGGACCAGCCTTGTGTATTTAACCCCTGTACATACTTTGTAGCACCTCAGTCAGAATATCAACTTAGTATTACCCTCAACTCTGTAATACCCCTTGACTCTACTTTATAGCTAAGGCCAAGCCTTAAGCTATCCCCAGCCCCTGTCCCAGACCTCTCCCTAGCTTGCATAAGGGTACAGCACATAAGCTGAGACCAAGGGAGGTAGATCCAACCCTGGACCAGCTTTCCCCTGTGTGCACCCCAAGACTGGTCAGCTTCCCACACTACCAGCCTTATTCCTGCACCCCCAGTCTTAAGTCCAGACCTCTGGACTTAACCCCTGACCTCTGGCTTAACTCTGGTCCAACCAGACTTGGCCCCTGTCCCCTGGCCTTGACTCTGGCCACCCAGACTTAGCCCCTGACATGTGGTCTTGAAGCCTGGTCACCCAAGGGTAAACCCATACTTAACACAGTGTTACAATTGGACCAAAGTCAAGGTGTAGGTTGAGCCCAGTCACAGACTAGTGGCTTCTACTGAGCAGACTGCTTCAGTAACCTTCATAGATAACAAAGGATTTAAGCAATGCCAATTAGAGTATCCTTGTTAAGGATCTGAGGGCAAAGTTCTGAGGGTACTGCATACAGTGACTCCAAAAACCACTTCAATGTTTGCTCTAAAAGGAGTGTGTGAAGTGTAGCACAAAAAGGGGTGGGAATTTTTCTTTGCTTCTCTAGGATCAAATTTAGTACTTGCTCTTGGCTGCAGAATGGTACATTTGTCACATGATATGGCTGACAGGCAGTGGAGATATCATTGATTTAAAACTGCAATACCATTAAATTGGTTTTTTCACTTTTGATTTGAAAAGAGTATTTTGAGAACCAGAAGCTGAGATCTCAGTCAAATCAAAGGATAATTTCATTTTTTGATTGTACAAACCCAGGCACACAAATAAACATTGTATCTGAGAAGTTCACATGACCCTCAACTTTCAACCACCACCATGGTCAGATCTCTTTCTCCCACTCAACAAAAAAACATCCTGGTGAAGATATCTCCAGGGAAACTGGTATTAGTTTCTCTACCATATCTAGACTTCACTCCAAAGAGCATTCTACCCTCCCAAAGTCTATTGGGGGTCATCCCTCTAAGCTTTCTCCTACCAACATCCATCATGCCTAGCATCTTGTTTCTAATGGAAAGGCAGAGAATGCTGTCCAGGTGACCAAGGCCCTCACCAATGTCATCAACCAATCCCTCCTCTACCTTCAGATTTTGAAGGATGAGCTACTGGATACCCTGCAATGTTACCATCTCAATCCTCCTGACATCATCTTTCAGCAGGACATTGACCCCAAGCACACCTGTAGGAAAGTGAAACAGTGGCTAGACAAGCAGGATTTCAAAACTATGGTGTGACCTGCACAGTCTCCTGACCTAAACCCCATTGAACATCTCTGGGGCTATCTCAAAATGAGGCTTTCAAAGCATGAACACCCCCCTAAGGGAGTTCATGAGCTTTGTGAAAGGATTCAGGTGGGGTGGGAGAAGATACCAGTGGAGGAGTGCCAAAAGTTAATTGAGGGCATGCTCAGAAGGGTTGGTGCAGAGCTCAGAACAAAAGGAGGCTATACCAAGTACTAATAATATAAAAATACCCTTTCCAATTCAAAAGTGAAAAAAACTGTTTCAATGGTATTGCAGTTTTAAATCAATGATATCTCCACTGCCTGTCAGCCATATCATATGACAAAGGTACCATTCTGTAGCCAAGAGCAAGTACTAAATTTAATCCTAGAGAAGCAAAGAAAAATTCCCACCCCTTTTTGTGCTACACTTCACACACTCCATTTAGAGCAAACATTGAAATGGTTTTTGGAGTCACTGTACTTAGGATGCATGTGAGAGTAGACTGAAGTTGGTAGTGGGCTAGATTGTCTGTGGGATTGTACATGCTGTATGTGCTGTATCGGACTGTAGGGTACTGTTACAGCACTTGACAGAGGGGGACTTTCCTATTGTACTATAGCCTCTGTCATAGGCTGGACAGGGCTGGACAGCAGCATCTTAGTTTGCTGATGTGTCTTCATCTTTGTCTGACTCAACCTCTACAATCTCCTCCTATTCAACAGCCATCTCATGGTTTACCTGTTCCACAATCTCATCATCTCCACCATTGAAATTGTAGGCTGATTCACCAACCTCCTGCTCTTCAACAGGGTTCAGCATTTCTTCCAAGGTCAGTGCTGAGCCAATGATCTATTTGTGCTGTTTAAGGTCCTCAAGAGCTTTTGTCAAGTCCTGTTCAGCTTTGGAGAGCTGTGGAAGGGAGAGCTGTATTACAACAGCAGAAGTTTGAGTTTGTATGACTGAATTTTGATTTGCATTTGGCATTAAAAGTTTTGTTTTGTTACTTTGTCTAGTCCTTTAAGAGCCTTTGTAGTGTCATCTTCAGCATACATATCAAGTTTCAGGATTGAAGTCCACTCATCATGTTTGTAGTGGTTGCCAAGGGCCATCTGAAGACTGTCCTCTGTTTCTGGTAAGTGTGTTTCAGATGTTGTGAAGTTGTGGATAACCTTGCAAGACCTAGGGTTGTTCATTGGCCTTGCTAGAGCACAGTACATGTCTGGTGTACTGGTGTTTGGGGTGGTGTCCAGCTGGATTCCTGTGTGATTCCAGCAATTCACAATGGAGGATGATGTGACAGCTCTCCATGCTGTGGTAACCATGTTCATTGCTTCAAGTAAGTCAATTTTATAGATCTCATGGTTTCCTGCTTCATTGAGTTTGACTGGACACTAACAGAAAGCATTCTGATAAAGGG